GGAGGCCCACAGACCGATATCAGAACATTTTGGTTATGACTGATCTTTTCACACACTATGCTTGGGCAGTTCCCACTAAAGATCAGACCGCACAGACGACAGTACATGCCCTATGGACTCATGTGATCCAGCCTTTTGGCTGTCCTGCCAGGCTACATTCAGATAGAGGGGCTAGTTTTGAGTCTGCACTAATGTATCAGTTATGCAGGTGTTATGGCATCACAAAGAGTAAAACCACACCATATCATCCTGCTGGAAATGGAGGGGTTGAACGACTGAACCAGACACTACTGCATATGTTGCGTTCACTTGAGGCAGAGAGACAGCAGAGGTGGCCAGAACTCCTCCCCGAGCTGTTGCAGGCATACAATAACACAGTTCATAGCGCCACAGGGTACGCTCCATCATACCTAATGTTTGGGCGGCATTTGAGACAGCCAGTGGATGTTAACCTAGGAGTGGAACAGGGATCACTTTGTAATGATCTTGGAGGATGGGTTAGAGACCACCACCAAAAATTGTCTTTTGCTTATGAAACAGCAAGGAAAAATATGGCGGCTGCTGTCAACCAAAACAAGAAGGTCTATGACAAAAGGGCACAGGCTCTGCCATTAGCACCAGGAGAGAGGGTTTGGATTAGGGACAGGAACAGTCAGGGGCAAGGAAAGTTGCACCCAGGTTGGGCCTCAGAACCACATGTTGTAGTGGAAAGAGTCGGGGATACAGGTGTGGTGTATAAAGTGCAGCCAGAGAAAGGGGGAAGAGAGAGAGTCCTTCACCGAAATGCATTAAAGTTATGCACCACCCCAGCAGTGGACAGTATCCAACCGATAGATGAGGTAGGCCCAGGGGTTGAAACGGTAATTGAGCCTCCATTCTATTGTGTTATGCCCAACGTGCCTATTTTGCAGCCTGAAGGACTGCCAGAACTTCGGCGTTCCGCAAGGTCTAACCTTGGTCAGCCACCAGCACGTTATCGGCCACTGGAGTGATGTATCAGGGACTGTCACAGTTAAAATGTGGGGGGATGTCACACAGTGGAATGTGTGTTTTTCTGTTGCTTTAAATTCTTTTATTGATTGTTGGAATTTCTTAACAGTTTTTTATTATTGCATGATTTTGTCGTGTGTTGTTGGTTTTATGGGCCTGTTTAGTTTATATTGTTTTTGCCACTGTTGACATGACAGTCACCTGAAGAGGTGGGCGTGACTGGGAGAGCGCACCAGGTGCGCATAGTTAGCGGGCTGATAAAGGGACGAAGCTGCAGAACTGCAGGAGGACAGAGGAAAAAGAGACCAAAGAAACCCGAAGGCAGAGGGACTGGACTAATAGGTGGACGTAGCACGGAACGCGTTGGATCGCAGGAGGACCGGTTCATCCCTGGCGTGCAGCGACAACGAGTGGGAGCAACGCCTTTGAATGACAGCAGGGCAGAGGTTGGACCTCTGCCTGCAGCCGTGAGTAAACGGCTTCCTCTGTTGTATGCTGGGTGACGCGCCGTATGGGCCGATCCTACGAGAAAGAGTTTGCACTGCGCCAGTACGGACAAAAGTTCTGCCCCAGTGTTCTGTCTTTGTCAGGGAGGAGCGGCGAGAGCCCCCGGGAGAGCACGCCTGAGACGAGTGCTTGCTGAGAGCGACCAGAGACTGGAGTCGGACGCTGAAGCCGGGACGCCGCCTTTCCCATCCTGTTCGTGACGTTGTGGATCTCGGAGGAGCCCAACTATCTTTTGGGATCTTTTTGAAGAACGTTTTAAACTGTTTTTATGGACTCAAACTTTTAGTTGTATATTTTTAGACGGGCTTTTATTTAGTTAATAAAAGAGGTTGCAGGCAAACTTCTGCTCTCTGGTGTCTCTGTCCCTCTGGTTTTGCACCCTCGCTCTCCACCTGTGTCGTTGTGAACCCCTGTGTGACGCTGGAGCTCTGCCGCTCCGGCGTTGCCTAGGTGACATACTCGCTCATCCCTAGTTCTTAGGGAAGAATTTAGGAATTTTTCAATGAATGTTTGACAAATGAGACCCCTATTATTTTGGCAGGAATACTATGATAATTACATTTCCTGAATTTAGGTGAACTGTGAAATTAGAATAATGTTTTAAAGATTTGAAATTTGAGGCAGAAATTAAAGCTTAAATAGCAAACCTTTCTTAAGAGAAAGGACTCAGTAAAAAGGAAAACTGAACAGTAAATACCAACAGATTTTGTTCAAGAGTAAAAGTTTAAGCTCTATAAAAAGTTTAAACATTACAACTGCTCTAAATTTGACCCAATAAAAAGTTTAACATTGCAAAAGCTAATTTAAAAACATGCATGAAATGTTTAATTAAATATTTTGAAGAAAGATTTGCTGAAAAATCTGGAACAGAGTTCAAGTGTGTAATGTAAACAAAGCCTTTTTCAAGGCCACTCACAACACCGGTGTTGACAACCATGATCAGGACAAGCGATAATGAAATATCTCCTGTCTTACTTGGTCTACAAAGCCAAGGTCCTGCAGGAGATGAGACTTTACTCTTTTAATAAAATGATTCCTAATTTGTTTCATAAAATCATTTCCTGTTGTTTGAACCCAAGGGTCTCTCATTATCTGAATTTTGAACTTGTTGGATTGTGAATCTGTTTTAAAATTTTGCTCTATATGTGCCTCTTTTTAAACTTTGAGCCCCCGCTCCTTCAGACGTCTCTGCACAGCCCTGATTTTAACCATATTCACAATATAAACACATTTTAATCTGTGTACTTCCAAAAAAATGAAAGTGGAACTTAAAGGACAATTTGGATGTTTTCTTATTATTTTAATGCTTTTCTGAAAAGTATTGGATCGGAACTCGGTATCGGCAGATACTGACTCCAAATGACTTGGAATCGAACCGGATCGGGAGCAAAAATACGTAACCGGAACATCCCTAGATATATGGAATATTTATATATTGGATACAGTTCAATCGTTGCTAAAAAGGGCAGTAAGATGTGTTTATTAGTTATTAATGTAATTGTTTCTTTTATGTATATTGCAGTTAGGATGACAGAATATTTATAAAAAATTGTCAGTTAAGAAAAGCAAGCCTTGGGTGAAGATTCCTGTTTTGTTTTAGTTGTTTGCTAGCTGGCTAGTTACACATAGCACACATTACAGCCTAACCCTAACCCATTCCTATTTTTTTTTCAGTTGTGCCGAATAAAACTAAATACCAGATCTGTCATATTAGGACATTTTTGGATAGAAGAGATGAATTTGAAGTGTTTGGTGAATAACATGTGTATGGTATGTAAAAGTTGGGTTTCTGATGGAGTAAAAATGATATTTTTAGATATCTAGATACATTTTAATGCCAGTATTGGCCAATATTGATGTTAAACCGATAATATTGGACATGCCTAGTTTTAAGCGACATGAACCTTCAGTATTAGCAGAACATATACAGTAGTTTCAGTTTGAGCAGCAGAAATTAGTTAAAACATGTCATTAAACCCAAAATGAGACAGGTACCATCTGATTGGTTTGTTCTGAGCTCCAACAGCAGTGTAAGATGAAACCTTCCTTCAGAAGCAGAGGGAAGTCTTAACCAAGCAGGGAACTCATCAGTGGATGTGAGCCTCCAGTATAACACCTCTAAGTATATTGTGGTGCACTGTACAACATTTAGAAAATCAGAATCTGATTCAGTTAAATTTTCTGGAAGATTCCAAAACGTAACTTATGAATGCAAAAGCAGTTAAAGTTCAAACAACTGAAATATATTTAAAATTTGAGACTTGAAGGATTTTACATGTATACTAATTGGCTGAAACATCATAGAAAATGCTGACTGTATTAAAAAGTATGAAAAGTTACCAAAAGTTACTCTGTGAGAGAGCTAAATGAGCTGAACATGTAGATACCATCTCGGCTGAAATCAACACATTCTCACTCCCAGCACGTCAAAAACAAACGCTTGGTCAGCTACCCTCTGCCTCAGACCCCTGATGCCAAAAGTGCCCTTTTTTGTTATGTGCGAAAAGGGGTTTTTCCCTTTTCTAACTGCAGATCCTAATGCAGTGTAAAACTGACATGATGGGATGTCCGCTACCGTTGCATCCCAATGCAGCGTTACACTGACGCAATGGGATGTCCGCAGCCAGGGCACCAAACAAGCTCATTGTACCTCACCTTAACCTTATCCTCTTATTTAACCTTCCCCTCACCCCTATCCTAACCTTAACCATCTTGCTTGCTAAAACGTTAGTGATGTGTCGGTCGCTCTGAAAGCCGGCTCTATGAAGTGAACGGCGGGAGCCGCCTCATGATTGGTCGGGTTTGGACCGAGCCAACGCAAGGGGGAGGTTTCAACTACCAAGGTGGAGGTTAAAAGTAGAGGGTATGTGTAACCTCCCCCTCGCCAGATGGTATGTTATAACGTTCCCCTTGGGCAGCAAATACAAAAATTCACAGTCAGAATGCATGGGAAACAGACGCTTGGTCACAGTGAGAGTAACGTTTTAGGTAGCAGGAGGGTTAAGGTTAGGGTGACGGAGAGGGGAAGGTTATGAATAGCAAATTGTTAAGGTTTAGGTGCGGTTCAATGAGCTGGTTCGGTGCTGCATCAGCGGACATCTCATCACGTCAGTTTTACGCTGCATTGGGATCTGCAGTTAGAAAAGGGGAAAACCCCTTTTCGCACATAAGTGACAAAAAAGGGCACTTTTGGCGTCAGGGTGGCTGACCAAGCATTTGTTTTTGACGCGCTGGGAGTGAGAATGTGTTGCTGAAATAGATGAAAAATTAGTTAAAAACAGAAAAATGAAAGGAAGCAGAAAACACAAAGAGAAACAGGATCACTCTAGGTGGGATACTGAACCAGCCTTTAAACAACTACTGACACATGCATCGACATTTCTATCTATCAGGTGGCAGGAAAGATTTCTGTTAATTACTGTCAGCAGAGCAAGTCAAAGGTTTTGGTTGACTGGTTAAAGCTATCTTCTCATGAGGTGTAGGGTCAGTAGAGTAGACATTACCTTGAGATGATCCTGGCTGATCGCGGTATGCTCTCCCTCATAGGAAACGATGACCTCGTTGGTTACTATCTCTGGTTCTGAAAGGTGACCTTGTTTGAATATTTTAATCCTGAATGTTCCTTCTGCAGAGCGCTGCTTTGCTTGGACAGTAAAGCTGAAGTAGTCCTTCGACTGCAGACTCTCATAGTTGTGTTCATAAGACACAACACCTTTTTTCAAGTCCTCCTGGGTGAACTCTAAAGCTTCAATCCCTCTCACAATAATCCTGCCACCTCTGGGCGGCGATGTAATCTGGAACTCAATTTCGCTGTCATCTCTGATGTCCATGTTGGAATCTGCACTCAAAAGGCTGGTGCTGAGAGTTTTGGTGCCACCGTGGTCGATGACAATGTATGCATTGTTAACGACTCGCAGGTAGGGCTCACTGGCCTGAATCTCCAACAAAGCTGTGGTTTTATGAAATCCATCTGAAACCTGTAGCTGGAAGCGCTCTCGATCTGCTCCATGGTGAATGAAAAGGATCTTCTGGTCTCTTAGGTCAGCTTGAGTAAAACGAAAAAGCGGCTGCTGTGGATTAGATGCTGAGACGATGTTGCCTGTGAGGATTCCCTCTCTGGCATAGATAATCTGAGAGTCATTAAAACCAGAATCATCATCTTTAAACTGAATGACGTCAGTGGTGAGAAGGCGCTGACCATAGCGGACCACATTAAAGACTTGATCCACTATCCTTACAGGACTGTGTTCGTTCTTTGATTGGATCAATATCTTAAACACACCTGTCACGGTATCTCGGTAACGCTGAGGGCTTTGATCAGCTGCAAAGAATTGGAACTCATCGCTGCTTGACTTGGAGCCATCGTGCTTGTATATCAACCTGTCAAGAAGGAGGTCTTCATTACTAAATGTTCTAATTGGCTCGTCAAATACAGGCTCTCCAGGTGGGGAACCCCTAATGAGTCGCCCATGCATGGGCTCCTGTATGACCTTAAACAGGAAATTTGTGGAACTTGGAGACTGCACCCAGAGATAGTTTTTGTTCAAGGTCTGCTCGCCCCCCTGCAAAACTACCAGCTCTTTACTACTCAGAACATTTTCACTTGGTCTGGACAAAATGCTAATTGAGAAGGTGTAGATGGGAGAGTACTGGCTCTCAGCAAAAACTCTGAACTGGAACTGGTCATGATGGCTCACAGCTCTTTCCGTCTGGATGCTGTAAGTTATTGCATTGTCCAAAATGTTCTTTTGGGTAAATGTGTCATCTTCAGCCAGCTGCTGGTCTGACAGCTGGAGGCTACCTAGGGTTGGAGGTTTGACAAGGATGTATTTAATGTTCTCTGGATCCAAGTGTTTATCCCTTAATTCAGCCTGAAGCTTTGTGAGTCCGATGACTTGTTTCTCACCAGACGTGATTTCCAGATGTTCCAACTTTAAAACTCTCACACGTGAAGGAGCAATTATGATAATAAAGGTGTTATTGAGTAAAGATATCTGTCCATAATGGACATGAAATTGTATCCTATCCATCACATATGTTTCAACATTACTTGAATCTGTGCTGAAGTACCAGATAAGCCCCTGATCCAGATCGGATTGTTGGAAAGCTAAAGCTTGTCTGTACCTGCCATCGTCTGTCCTGAATTTCAGTTCTCCAAACTTTGGAGAGTGTGTGATCTGGTACAAGATGTTTTCACCGATAGGGTGAGCAGAAACAGACAAGTTCTGACTGCTTATGGATACATTGCTTCCTTGGAATAAATTAAGGCCGGTGTTGGTGGTAAGAAACAAAGATGGAGTTTCAGTGTTTGTTACTTGCATCTTTAAAGTATTTGACTGGACTACTGACTGACCATCCGACACTTTAATGGTGATGTTACCAGTGCCACCCTCTCTGTGTACAAAATAGATTTTTCCATCATTCAACTCTTTGCAGGTGAATTGTGAAATGTGTTTTCCTCTTTGCTCCCCATTTTCCAGATAACCAAATCTAATGGAAGGTGCTACAATTATATCCACAACTGACTGTTTGCAGCTCATGTCAGAACTCGTGATTCTAAAAAGACTGGGACTCATACGAGTCCTGCCATTTTCTTTGATAAGAATAGCTCCACCGTATTCTGGCAATCCTTCAACTGGGAGAACCACAATTGGAACAGTATATTTTTGTGGACTTTTTAAACAGTCTGGAAGGTAACCAGCACTCTGAGCAACGACCATGAGCTCTATCTGGTCTACAGAGCTTTCGTGTCCATCATGCATATACTTTATGTTCTCGTTGAGAACATCCAGAAGGGTGAACTTTCTCATTTGTCTTTGGCTAACATTTATGTCAACCAGGCCATACAACGGATTGCTCTGGAGACTAAAAATAATTTCAGATGGGCGAAGTCCTGCAGCAACAAGGTCAAATGTAGGGTTTATGTTGCTGATATGTAGAAAAGCCTCTCCACCTTCAGTCACATGCACAGGACTGATGTTCAGAAGTTTTGTTACGTTTCTGAATATTTCCGGCAGATCATCTGTTGGGTAGCAATCCAGTTCATTCAACTGAGTTTCTGTGTTCAGAATTCGAACAGGTGGCGAAGTTGTTGCTTCTGTCTCATCATAGGTGGAGTAGTCATAGTCCTCTCCTTCACATTTGCTGTGAACATCTTTAGTCACCAGAGCATCCTGCAGACTCCGACCCCTCAAGTTTACTTTGATTTCTCCTAAGCATCCAATAAAAGATTCAGACGTTATGTCATCTTCAAAATGATTTAGGGACCCACTTTCACGAAAAACTTCTTTCATTTTCTCCTGAATACCCCCTAAATACAAGTTTCCTACTAAATCCAGTTTGTGTGACGGGTCAGTAGGAATGGAGGATGCCTGGCTGTCTACAGTGAGAACAAAGGAGTTCTGACTGACTTGAACCTTGACTCTGTGCCACTGGTCATCATCCAGTTGAACGTGTGTATTATCAAGTACCACCAAGCCACCTCCAATGTCCAGTATGCCCTTAAGCTTGCCTTTTGCAACCCCCACAGCAATGAAGTCCGGCTCTTGGCCATGGTGGAAGGCAAGTAGAGCATCTTCTATGGTGGTTTTCATCAGAAACTCTAAAGTCCTTGAAGCATTAGCAGACCCACTCCATGTTGGGAAGGACACAAAGGTATCAGGAGTGCTGAAACTGATTGTTTCTCCATCTCCAGCCTCAAACTCACTACTACAGGATTCTTTTGTGTCATGGCACTGCTTAAATGCAAAAGTGAGGATATCAAATTGATGAGATTCAAATTTGACGTTAGTCATGCAACCACGAAAGGGCGGGATGGCATTACTGAGGTAAGGAGCGTCCAGGTCCCCAGTTCCTCCAAGCCAAATGCCCTTGTCAATATTGAGCAGCTCTCCTTCATCAGGCACAGGTACAAAGGTTGGAAAGACATCATCAATGGTCATGGTGAGCTTTTCATCCTGCAGAGTCAACAACACTTTGTGGTACATAAGGTTGCTGAGCTGCACTCCTTGAGATGAAGACAGGGTGACCTCACCAGCTCCCAGGTTAATTCGAGCCTAGGTGGGAAAGAAAAGTTTAGTTGGATTCAAATGTAATTTCAGGAGTTGAAGTTTAACATTTGGTGCAAAAACACATCACCATTATAATGAAGAATGTATACTACCATTTACTGAATGCTAATTACTAATCCTACTCAATGTTAATGTTGATCCACAACATGTCTGTAGAAGGGTTGGGCGATGGACTGAGCTGTTTTTTACAGGAGCTTATTTTTTTGTTTGTCCGTGAGTTAGTTTGTTAATGACAAATATTTTACAAGTTACACACAGTGCAGAGCTAAAAATGAAGAAAAGATCTCCATCAGCGCATTTGACCATTTTCTCACCTTCTCCGAAGAGCTGGGAAAGCATCTGTGACGCGGTCAACATTGTGTGTTGAGTGGGAAGTGGAAACCCTTCTATCTGTCAGAGTCTGGAAGAATTCTGTATTTTTTTATTTGGAGAAATGTTTCCTGATTTTAAAACTTTGGCTTAACCCTCTGATGCATGAATTATGAGATCTTCAACCATGATTTTTTAACAATTTTTTTCATTCATCTTTAGGTGTGAATGAAACAAATTTCAACAAATATTTTTTGTAACATTTTGTTAATTTACAAATACTTTATTACATGTCCATCTCAGTGGACAGCGTGCATTCTGAACATGAAATATGTTGGCTTGCCTTACTGAAGTCCAAATGGAGGGGCTCGCATACAATAAAGTTTTCAACAGCTGTGCTTAATAGCAAAAATAAATAAATAACAATTTTGAGTACCTGTCCACTGTAGTGACCATTATGCATCAAAGGGTTAAAGTCGCTTTCCGGAGTATTCCTCTTTTCCGATGGCACCATCTAGCGGCTGACTAATATATCACACTCCTTTAGTTTTTCAAGATGGCAACTTCACGTTTCTGTTTATGAATGTCCTTCTGTAGCCGACAAACAGCTAAAACACGTTGTTTTATGAGTATTATTCTCATGTCATGTTGTGTTCTCATATATTTATAGTTTAGAGACTTTCTTGTCTGTGAAAAGTTCATCAACTCTGCATCAGCCAAGGTATTCCTGAAATTTGAAGCATGTAAGCGGCAGTCTAACGCTATTGGTTAGTTCTGGTCGGCGCTGAGTTTCCTATTGCACGGAGCTCTGCGGCACAGGGGGAATGCTTACATTATATCACAGTGTATGATGAGATGATCGCTTTTACGGATTTCTGAAAAGTCCTACATAATGTCTGAAATGGGAAAACTCTGGAAAGATACTTTAAGTAGCGCTCGTTATTCAGCACCTGCTTCGAATGTATCGGCGTTTGTTTACATGAGGCCTTCTGTTCAGCTTGTTTGTACTAAAAATTTATTAAAATGAATGTGAAATTAACGGTATTGAATGATTATTTATTTATGAAATGAAAGTGACCCAGCCTCTGGCTGCGTCCAAACACAGCAGTGCTTCATTTAATTTCATTTCCTACTCAAACTCATAAAAGAAGGAAACCCAGTAGTCTATGTTCTGAAGAAAAACATTTTGGGCAGCACTTTAACCGTGTTTAATACAGGCCATTTATACATCACTATACCAAACTACAAATACAAAATTAAACAAAAAACTAAATCAAAACTTGTCTTCCAGCAAAAATATTCACTGTGCTTCCATAAAAAAATCTGTATCTGTGTTTGTTTCTTCGCCTATCGTCTTTTTTTTTTGGACTGACGATTGGTGGTGGGAAAAATGATACAAATCACCCAACCCTAGTCTAGAAAGAAATAATAAAATAATGCAAATACACTCTCTCTCTCTCTCTCTCTCTCTCTCTCTCTCTCTCTCTCTCTCTCTCTCTCTCTCTCTTTGCAGAAAGTGTGAAATATTTGTTTAAACAAAATCAGGTGCATAAATTTGGGCACCTCATAAAAGAAATAAACTCAATATTTAGTAGATCCTCCTTTAGCAGAAATAACAGCCTCTAAACTCTTCCTACTTTGGACCTTTCTTCTGTACAAAACATCTCTAGTTCATTCAGGTCTGATGCTTCTGAGCATGGACAACTCTCTCTAACTCACACCACAGATATTCAGGTCTGGGGACTGAGATGGCCGTTCCAGAACGTTCTACTTGTTCCTCTGCATGGGTAGATTTTGAGCAGTGTTTAGGGTCGTTGTTGTCACAGTCTGTGGTGAGCTTCCATGTGTGTGTGTGTGTGTGAGTTCCACTTTCTCCTGAGCTTCTAATTGCAGGTGAGCGTGTGTGGGAGCTCCCAGCTACTGCTGCTGGTTGTCATCAACCTGGCCAGGGGATTTAAGCCACAATCAGACACTGACTCTTGCTGGATGATTACTCACCAGTGGCGCCCCCAAGGGGTGGCCATTTGCCCCCCCCCCCGCAAAAGCTTGTATTGATAAATCATATTAATGTTCACTCAAACCATAAACTCTTATTTATTGAAGACATACTTGTAAAACAAAATAAATACGATTAATGACTAAAGACCCCCGCGACCCTACGTGGATGAAGCGGGTTCTGACACTGGATGGATTCATGGATGGATAATGACTAAAGAAAAAATCTGAATAAAAAAGAAAATACACATGTTTCTGCTGCTCACCATTTAAAAAAAGTTTCATCTTCATAGTTTTTTGCGAACACAGCAACAGGTTGAATTAAAGTAAAAAAATATATATTTTAAAATAAAATCTGAAATAACAAATGTATTTTTCTGGAATGTTGGTGTTTGTAACATTTAAGTTAAATGTTTTGGATATAGACAATTTTTTAAAATAAAACTTAATAAAGGAGGAATGCAATAAACGCCACAGGATAAACTCTCCCAGAGTCACCACAAGGACCAATTTGGTGTGCCACCCCAAAAAATGTTTTGGCCCTGTCTGGCCACCCCATCAAAATTTTCTGGAGGCACCCCTGTTACTCACACTGGTATTACTGGTGTTGGCTGAACTCTTGCCATTTAAGCCGTGTCTCATAGTTACAGCCATAGTCTTGTTCAGTCATTCTTACAGCTTATGTCTGTTACTCATCTATAGATAGGGGAGAGTGGGGTAAAGAGGGACATTTTTTACATTTGTTCCTCTCCAAGCAAGATAAAATGATTTTCGGGTAAATTTACAAATTTCCCATGAATTCAGGATGTTTCCTTACAATGGTAATTATCAGAATGTACCTAGGGTGAACAGCAATGAAAATGTGATGGTTTATAAAAAAGTATTTTTGTGTCTCACTTTATCCCAACTTATGGGTAAAGTGAGACAGACGAGAGAAATCAGTGGGGTACAGTGAACCAGCTAGGGGTAAACGTATACCATAGAGAGGGCTGTGTTTATCCAACTTATGTCTTTTCTACAGGAATGGGGAATTGGAGAAGTATTTCAATCTGGGTTCAAACCCTTTCATAGCACTGAATCTGCATTGCTGAAGGTCCTTGATGACATTTTATTAGCTAATGATTCCAGTGATGCTGTGGTTCTGGTGCTCTTGGACTTGACATCAGCCTTTGATACCATTGACCATGGCATTCTAATAAACCGATTAGAGCAGTGTGTGGGTATTACGGGCCAGGCACTCAAGTGGATAAGATCCTACTTGACAGGGAGGAGTTTTTATGTGAGGTTGGGGGACTGATCCTCCGACCTGGCTGAGCTACCTTGGGGAGTACCCCAGGGATCGATTTTGCCCCCACTATTTTTCTCCCTATATCTCCTACCCCTGGGTGACCTATTCCGCAAGCATGACTTGTCATTCCATCTATATGCTGACAATTGCCAGGTCATTTTTCCAATTAGACGTGGTGGTTTATGCACCATTCAGCCTTTGTTTGACTGCCTGGAGGACATGAAGCTATGTTTGGCTCAGAACTACTTGTGTTTCAACAAAAACAAGACTGAAGTAATTCTGTTTACTCCACCAAAGGAGGTGCCCAAGGGCTTGATTTTTCCACACTGGCACCGCATCAGAAGGCGGTGGTCACTAACCTAAGGGTAAAGTTGGACGCAGAGCTCAGATTTGATGCTCAAGTGAACAGAATCGTGAGATCTAGCTTTTTTCATCTATGCCGTATAGCGAAAATTAAGCCATTTCTGTCACGTAGTCACTTGGAAACCTTGATCCATGCCTTTGTTACCTGCTGGATTATTGCAACTCGCTATGTGCGGGGCTTAGGCAAGCTCCAATAGCACACCTCCAGGTGGTTCAGAACTCAGCTGCTTGGTTGTTAACATCTACCAGGAGGTCTGAACATATTACACCAGTCCTATGTGCCTTGCATTGGCTCCCTGTTTCCTATCGCATCAGGTTTATGGTAATCCTTTTTGTGTTTAAAGCGTTAAACTCAGGGGCACGAAATACCTTTCTGACATCATCCACCGACATGTCCCGGTGCGTTTCCTTAGGTCAGCTGACCAGATACTATTAACTGTGCCCAGGTACAGCTTGAAGTCTCGTGGGAGACGTGCCTTTTCATTGCTCGGACCAAGTCTTTGGAATGAGCTGCCAGCCGACGTAAAGCAGGCCAAATCACTGGAGACCTTTAAAAGCCGACTAAAAACACATCTGTCCTCGTTGGCGTTTGGACATTGAAGATGGGATTGGGTGGGCAGCATCACTTTGAATGTGTCTGGATCTGATTCTGGAAACAGGACTGATATGGATTGCGAACTTGTACTCGGGATTTCTTATTGTATTTTAAATGGTTATATGTCTGTTTTATGGTTGTGCTTGTTATTGGTGTACAGCGCTTTGTTTGTCCGTTTTGGGCATGTGAAAGCGCTTTATAAATAAAGTTGATTTGATTTGACTTACTTTTTCTACTCTGAAACTACCATAAAAATAACACAACATAATGTAATTCAAAAGGTTGTATTAACATTCAAATGAGAGAGAAATTACATTGCTGCAACACAACTCACAATACAAAATATCCATTTTTTAATGTATATAAAAGTCTTAATTAAAAATGCCAGGAACTTGTGTGCTGTACAATTGAACACAGCCCTCATAGACACTTAAA